TATATATGGTTAGAAAACTCCACCCATCCATTTTTCCCTGCTTATCCGGGGCCAGACCTCCCTCTCCCCAGCCAGCTCCTCAGGCTTATCCAGGGCAACACTACAGCGTTCCCAGGCTGGCTGGGAGATGTAATCGGTCCAGAGTGTCCTGGGTCTGCCCAGTCCTTCCACTGGGACATGCTTGGAACACTCCGGAGGTGCCGAGGAGGCATCTCCGTCAGAGGCCCAAACCACCTCAGCAGAGTGTGAGAGCTGGAAAAGTTTGGTTTACAAAAGCTGTGCTGGCAAATGGCACGGGGACTGCACTGATTTTAGATCACTTTAATAGTTGATTGCATACTGAGCACTCAAAATAATAGAAAAGGTGTTTGTGCAGACTTAGAGGAAGGCGTGCAGGAACGAGTGTAACAGCAGCTCTCACAGAGAGCTTCAGGCGAGGGACACCAGACAACAGATTCAGATGTTGCTGATTTGTAGCAACATCTGAATCTTACGTTAAAAAACTGCTTTATCATCAGAGAATTTAATCACATAGTTGTTCATATGATGATTTCTGCAATTGTTTGCATATATTTGAAAGAAACGAAGGCTTCTTTGTAACCTGTGTGTGTGAAAGACTTTCACCTGCTGTTGTCTTTTATTTGCACACGTTGCTGTTACTGGTGAAGCTGGTCTGGACTGGTGCTGAGTGAAATGCATATAATGGTTCCTGGGTCAGTTTGTCATCTTTTGTCTTTGAGTTCAGGTCGTCCGTCTGTTTGGCGCTGTTAGTGTTGCTGCGTCACTGTAAATGCACACGTCATTGCATGTGTTTGCTTCTGCAGGCCATGTGATGTCAGAGAGCTCCGCAGCTACGAAGCACGATTTCGCCATAATCTCCTCCTCGGCTCTCCTCCCAGGTTTCAAACAGGCTAAACTTTATTAACACAGCCGCTCTTCTCCAGTCTTTATGACCAAACTGTGTGACGACATCATGTTTTTCTGATGTTTTGTTTATTCTTTCTGTGAACAATCAGCTGCTCTGCTGACGGCACAGTCATCAGCGTCATTGGTCTCTCGTGTGAAACTTTACCATCTGATAACTGGTTGTCCTGATCTCCGGTTAGGATAAGTGAATCCAGACAACAGAAAGCGATACCCTGCACACGCTGAGCTCACTCTGAGTGCACGTACCTGTACTTTGATTTGTGCTTTTGGTTCTGAGGTCGAATCTTTCTGCACACATCCAGGCAGCTCCTCCTGGGTTTTGGAGCCTGCACTTTGAGTTTTTGGTCTTTCTAGTTCTATTTGTTAGTCGTTATTGTGCTGTTTGTTTTTCCCGTCTTTGATTTTATTACTTTTTATAGTGTTTTGTGTTGTGAGTTTGTCGTCCCAGTTTTATGTCTGTTCATATTCCTGGTGTAGAGGCTCAGCCGACGCTTGAATCCACGGAGGTGTTCGATGGTTGGGGTGACGCGGTGCCACTGTTATCAGTGAAACTCTACTCATCCTGTCTGTTTAACATCTTTAATACATTCCTGTATTTGTTGTTCAACAGTATCCAACATCACGTAACATAAATCACAAACCGTTTGCTCCGTCTGACCAACAACACCTGACATTAACTACGTGTGTCTACCTTAAATACAGTCACATAAACACACCATACTGTAAAAACACAAAAAGTTTCACACATAAGGTAACATCACAAAATGGTTCCTACACTTGGCTTCATAGTCCTGGTTTGTATGCATCGTGCTGTCAGTTCTTCCTGTCTTCTTTGGGTAACTTGGATCTTTGGGCTTTGCTGTTCCAACACGTGAGGTATAAGAACAGGAACAGATGAAGTATTTAGGTCCCAGTGACACAAAACAACAGAAGTTAAAAATATTGTGTATATGTAGAAAAACAATGCAAGCTAGCAGGGGTATAAATAAGACAAGGATACAACATTTAAGAGGAAGATATAATTAAGGTGAGGATTGTTGGATAAGCAGAAGAGAATGAATGGATGAATGGACAGACTTGGTCAGAGGCACGTTTGTAATGACATGTAATGAAAATTGTTACCACAAGGAGGCAGCGTGTGACCAGTTTGTGTGCCGATCATTGTTTTAATCCATCAAGTATCTCGGTGTCCACATCTCCTCAGACCTGACATGGTCTGCCCACATCCAGGTGCAGTCCAGAAAGGCCAGGCAGCGCCTGTACCACCTACGACAACTGAAGAAGCTCAGGGTCTCTCCAGAGATCCTCAGGACTTTCTTTACAGGCGCTGTGGAGAGCATCCTCACACAGACCAGCTGTGTCAAGGATAAAAAAGCTCTTCGTAGACTGCTCCATACGGCAGAACGCTTTCCCTCTACACGACATTTAAATCAGAAGATGCTGAACCAGAGCCGCTCAGATATGGAAGGACCCATCCAGCAATAAACTGTCCCAGCTTCTGTAATCAGGCACCATGCAGGCTAGAACAGAGAGGCTCAAGAGGAGCCCCCCCCAATCTTTGCCCCCCCCCCCCAAGCTCCATCAACCATAAGTGACTGAGACAGGACTCATTGTTATCACATCCTGATCTGGCTTCACTTTCACACCCCACTCTCACAATGTACATTCTCGAATTTCGAACTGCAAATTTCCAGATTGTTTTATTCTATTGAATTTACTTGATGTATATAATTCACTCGCTTACTGCACATAATGTCCTCTTTGCATGTATTTACTATAATGTTCTCTGTTTCTGCACAGGAGCGCATCAGGTCACATTTCACTGCATGTTGTGCTTGTATGCAGGTTGTTTCTTTGAGCAGTTTTGTCCTGATCCGCTGTTCAGAGGTCTGACTGGTTCTGTAGATTAACAGACTAACATGTGTCGACTTGTTTGCGTTCTTCTGTGAGATGCTGCTTTTGGCCATGCAGCATGTTGTGGCTTGTTTTACCAACAGGGGGCAGTGTCTTGTCAGTGGATGGTTTTTATATTCCCTTTGGCCTGCGCCCATGTCTTTACAGGACTTTAGATAGAGCAGCATCAGCCCTCTCTCACAGATGCTGTGTCAGTGTGTCACACTGTGTTGATGCTATAAGTAACTTTAGAAAGTTTCCAGCTCAGGATTCCCTGCAGATGAGTGAAAAGTCACTTTTTATGGTATTTCTCGAATACACAGATCCCTGAAAATGTCATTCCCATTATCAGTATCATACCCAGTAAAGCTCCCAGTAGAGCTCCTGATGTAGGTGTCAGCTCACCACCACAGCTAAAATACCCAACAACACTCCCGAGAAATATTCCCAACAATCCGCTCTTCTCAAGAATAGCCAGTCTGTTTTCTGATGCTTTCCTCCTGCGGTCGTCTTTGCTTCGCTCCTCGTTCGCAGCTTTTTCAGCCGCCTGGAGCATCTGAGGCGTGTAGAAGAAGTCCGAGTAATCTTGTCTCTCCTGAGTTATCTTCTCCAGCAGCTGGGTGACTTGAACAGGGCTCCTGTCAGCAATGTTAAAAATAAAATATCTCCACTGGCACCGTTCAATCAGTTCCCTGAGGTGCTCATTGTCTTTCATGCCCTCTTTTATGTCAGCTTCGTTCCCTCGCGGATCGTTGTTGTGGGTGAACACCACCGTAACGTAGGCCACTGCACGTTTGCCAAAAGTGCGTTCAAAAACCTGCAGTGCTTTTAACTCTTCAGATGTGATGATTTTGAGCCTTTCCACCAACAGGAACACATGAGGACCAGGTTCAACGTTTTCAGTGGCCCACTTGATCTCTTTCACCACGTCCTCTTCACTTGATCCCATTTTAAACAGACCCGGAGTGTCCACAACAACCACGCTGTGACTGTCAGAGTCTGTCTTTCTTTCCACGTGGCAGGTCTTTGTGCGCTCTCCATGAGGATCGCTCAACGTGAATGCAGCACTGTCCCCCAGGATGATGCCTCCTAGCGTACTTTTCCCAACCGTCGTCCTCCCGAACAGGACGATCCTCAGCTCTGGAAGCTCCTGCTCATCTGTTACAAAAAGGTTTGCATGTGAGAAAAGTCCCACTCTTGTGTTAAACTGTGGAATCACTTTACCCCAAAATGCATCCGCTGACCACAAATTCATGAGCAGTTTTCTCAAAGAGACATTTCGAATGACCTTCATAGGCCACGTGCTGCACTGACATCGATATGCATGTAATAGTGCACACATGGAAACTTATTAATTTGATATACGCACAAAAATAAAAATGCATCTAAATTCATTCATTCACGATGAAGTGAAAACAATCGGAAATATTTTAGTTTCAAAGACTTTTCTCGGCAGATCAATCAAATATGTGCAAACAGTCTGGATTCAGTGTTGAAGCTTCTCCATGCAGCTTCTGGGTCAGATCCGGATTGGTCGAGAGCTGTTTGTACCTCAGAGCTCCAACATGAGCACAGTTTGTGGGCTTTTTAAGGACTCATCACAGATTCTCAGTCAGATTAAGCTTTGGGGAGTCTTCCGGCTATTTGGGCCCAGGCTCTGATACTCAGCATGAAGAAGGGTCAACACTGTGAATGCTGCCTCTGCATACATTTGATTTATTTTCTAATAAAGGTTTTGGAAACTTAACATAACAAACACCATCACTAATAGGGCCTGTAATCTTTTTTCCTTCATGGAAAACCCAACTATGCTAACAAGTTAGCATTTACAGATTAAAATGAAAAAACAAACTGAAGTTTCAGACACGACTGAAGTTGTTTAAAGGATTTGACTCAAAGGACTGAACATCTGTCATGCAGCATGCTTGGATTGTCCATTATTTACTGTGAAATAAAAGGTGATTACAATAATTTTATTAGCTGGTTACTCGGCAGTAATTCTTCAAACTAAACTCTCACTGACTGCACTCGGATATGAATGCAGACTGGAGCTAATCTGACACTAAACTGAGCCAAACAGCAGCCTGAGTATCCCTGCAGGACAACCTCACCTTCATTCTCTGGATCTTCATTGATCATCACCGAGCTCTCTGAAGGCTCAGTGCTGCCCATGTCTTCATCTGGCTGCTTAAATTTCCATCTCACCTCTATTTCATCATCCGCTGCTCGTTTCCTTACATACAGCACTTCAGCTGTTCTAGGGCAGGAAGTGTGGCACAAAGCAACCAATCAGAAGGCTGAAAAAGAGTGCATCATGCAGAGTGCATTTCCACAGGTCTGCCTTTTCACCCATAACAGTTACATGACTCCATGAAGACATCACAGTAACACATCTGTTCACAGTTTCATTTAAACCCTAACAGTGGCAAATTCAAAACAAAAGTTTCACATTATGAAAAGTGATTTTGTCTTTTTTGACAGTTATGTTTGCATTTTCATATCTGTAAGACAGATTTACAGCTGGAAACAGAAACAACCTGCTGTCAAAAGCAACAATCTATAGAAAGCACAGACAACACCTTATTAAACCTGGACAAATGTGAATGTAGAAGAACTATTTGTTCATTCATATAGAATAAGACAACCCTAAAAACATGCCGGGTTCTGGGGCGAGTTTGATGGTCCTTCCTTTCTCTTTGGCAGAGTCACTCTCCCAGGCTCGCTCACTTCTTCCTCATTGCTTCACTTTGTAAATAAATATGTTTTTTCTTGTATCTTGATGTCTGAGTCTGCTCCTAGTTTCCAGTTAGAGTAAAATCATGAAAAAGTTACCAGCAGTTACAGTGTGTAGAATCTCACAGCCTGATGTCAGTAGACTGCAGATTGCAGTGAACCGTTTTCTTACTCCAACCAGTTTAGGTGCATAATCCTAGCTGGGTGGAGGCTATAGGACAAACATGTTTTAGACAGCCAAGATAGATCAGAAACAATAAATCTGGTTTGTACCCCATGAAGGCCAAGGCCAGCTGGCTTGTTTCTACTACTGTTTGGACCAAACCCTGAGTTTTTCCCTGTTTGTGGAATGCTGTCACTCTGCTGTTGGTGCTGGTTGTGCAGCATCTGCCTTCATTTACTCAGGAAAGGACATGAGACAAGCTCACTATTGCGGTGAGTTTTTGAGGATATAGTTAACTTTTCTTCTTAAAAGCTGCTGTTTTCGCCACTAGTAGCTGCTGTTACACTCTTTTGGCTGCTGTTAGCCTCTGTTAGCTGCTGTTACACTCTGTTGGCTGCTGTTAGCCTCTGTTAGCTGCTGTTACACTCTGTTGGCTGCTGTTAGCCTCTGTTAGCTGCTGTTACACTCTGTTGGCTGCTGTTAGCCTCTGTTAGCTGCTGTTACACTCTGTTGTGCTGTTACACTCTGTTGGCTGCTGTTAGCCTCTGTTAGCTGCTGTTACACTCTGTTGGCTGCTGTTAGCCTCTGTTAGCTGCTGTTACACTCTGTTGGCTGCTGTTAGCCTCTGTTAGCTGCTGTTACACTCTGTTGGCTGCTGTTAGCCTCTGTTAGCTGCTGTTACACTCTGTTGGCTGCTGTTAGCCTCTGTTAGCTGCTGTTACACTCTGTTGGCTGCTGTTAGCCTCTGTTAGCTGCTGTTACACTCTGTTGGCTGCTGTTAGCCTCTGTTAGCTGCTGTTACACTCTGTTGGCTGCTGTTAGCCTCTGTTAGCTGCTGTTACACTCTGTTGGCTGCTGTTAGCCTCTGTTAGCTGCTGTTACACTCTGTTGGCTGCTGTTAGCCTCTGTTAGCTGCTGTTACACTCTGTTGGCTGCTGTTACACTCTGTTGGCTGCTGTTAGCCTCTGTTAGCTGCTGTTACACTCTGTTGGCTGCTGTTAGCCTCTGTTAGCTGCTGTTACACTCTGTTGGCTGCTGTTAGCCTCTGTTAGCTGCTGTTACACTCTGTTGGCTGCTGTTAGCCTCTGTTAGCTGCTGTTACACTCTTTTGGCTGCTGTTAGCCTCTGTTAGCTGCTGTTACACTCTGTTGGCTGCTGTTAGCCTCTGTTAGCTGCTGTTACACTCTGTTGGCTGCTGTTAGCCTCTGTTAGCTGCTGTTACACTCTGTTGGCTGCTGTTAGCCTCTGTTAGCTGCTGTTACACTCTGTTGGCTGCTGTTAGCCTCTGTTAGCTGCTGTTACACTCTGTTGGCTGCTGTTAGCCTCTGTTACGAGCATTGGTGAAAAATTCTTTGAAGTGGATCTAATGTTGTTGGACTCTGACGCAAATAATTGCTAATACAATTTGAGAATAATTAAACTGTTTCTTAGAAGTTTAGTATTTAGCATACTGGAGTCTAACATTAGCTGGTATAATGTTAGCTTATACTCAGCTAAAGTTGTTGTTTGGCTAGCTAAACTTTTTTTGTAGTTAATATAATCAAAAATGAAGAGTAGATTGCTATAAGCATATATTCAGTTTGAAACTGTATTTTGAATCTTTTTAATGGGTGGTATATCATTTTAATGGAAAACAAATAATAATAATAAAAAAATAAGTACAAGATTTTTCAAATAAAATAAAACCAGACTAAAGACAGTGCATTTCTGCATTACAGCAGTACTTGATACTCTATTTAAGAAAATCGACGCATTAATTAATGGCAGGACTTCTTTGAGCAGTTTTGTAGGAATGGGGTCTAAAAGACACGTTGATGGTTTGGAGGAAGTAATTATTGAAGTTAACTCAGAAAGATCAACTGGAGAAAAAGAGTCTAACTTAACATCAATGGTACTAAGAGTAGCTGTAGATAATATTACATCTGTGGGATGATTACTGGTAATTTTTTCTCTAATGATAAAAATTTTATTTGTGAAGAAGTTCATGAAGTCATTACTAGTTAACGTTAAAGGGATTGTTGGCTCAAAAGAGCTCTGACTGTTTGTCAGCCTGGCTACAGAGCTGAAGAGAAACCTGGGGTTGTTCTTATTTACTTCAATCAGTGATGAATAGTAAGATGTTCTGGCTTTGTGGAGGGCTTTCTTATAAAGCAGCAAACTATTTCTCCAGGCTAAATGATGATCCTCTAAATTTGTGACACGCCATTTCCTCTCCAGCTTACGAGTCGTCTGCTTTAGGCTACGTGTTTGAGAATTATACCACGGAGTCAGGTACTTCTGATTAGAGACCTTAGTTTTCACAGGATCAAATAGCATTATAGCATTAAAAGATAATAATAACAATAATAATAATAAAAATAATAATACTTTGTAAAATTATACAATAGTAAAACCAATCACCCTTATAATCGTTTACAATGATGTCATCAGTAACAATAATAATAATGACAGCAGCAACTTGTTGTGTATTGTCTTGATCACTTTTTGTTGTTGTAGTTTTTCTTTGTTTTCATTCTTTCTGTTTTGAGTCTTTAAATGTTGTTGGGCTTCTTTTTTGAGTCTCTGTACTCTTGTTAGCTCTTACAAAAGGTCTATAAAGAAATCAGAATAATCTTTTGTTGTACAGTTTTATTTTTATTATTTTTATTGCTGCATTTGATATTTTCTTCTTTTTGTAAATTTGTATTTTGTTTTCTTAAAATCTTCCCGTCACATCACAGCTGAGTCATGTCAGAAAATCAACCGTTTTGTTTGAATCATCTTTTATTTGCTGATTTTGCTGTTAATGTCTGATTAATTTCACACACTGATTGATACATTAGCATTTTAACTTTACTGAATCAGAAAGATAAAAGAACACACGAGGAGAAGAATGTGGCATCACCAAACACAACGATCACTTAAAAAAAATTACATAAGTGTTTACAGAAAAATGATAAAGGTGGAGTCGGCACAGATGGAGCAAGCATGGAAATGTCCTTCCTCTAAAGCATGGTGATGCATTGGTTGCATTATTGATTGCGGTCTGCAGAGAAGCTGAAGGTATCAGATTAATAAAGTGCAGTAAAAATAGCTGAATATTTTACTCTTTTATAGAACTCAGCTGCAGTTTTATTACAGCACAATAAATGTGGATAGTTTTTAATGGGTTTGTTGCTACAGTCTGAAGGCTTAAGGTCTCGACTTACTTCCCTGCTTTTTGTTATTAAGTGAGACAGTTTTCAAACTTTGTTGCCAGCCAGACATTTGCTTGTAGGGCTAAGGTAACAAAGTCTGCTGGCAGCACAGGAGACAACAGGGCTTTAGCGACAGTGGCCACATGTTGGTCTCCAGCCCCCATCTGCCTCTGAGTTTTTGACTTTTGGATTTGCTTCCTTAAGTCTTCCTGTGCATGTTCGAACAGTTCCTTGGTGTAGTTTCTTAGCTTGTTATTTTGTACCATTTCATTGATTTCCTTCACCAGCTGCTTTTGTTCTTTTGTTTTATCTTTTTCATTACCTTTGTTGTTAATAACACAGTATTTCTGTGTTTTAAATCCCACTTTCCTAATAAACGTCCTTATCTGGTTTCTCTGCTTACCAGACAAGTCTCCATCGATATGCGTGATCAGGAGGAAGAAATAACGCATGACCTCTTTACCAAAGATCCTCCTCAGGACTTTCACTCGTTCCACATCCTGTGTCATAAAATCGTCCTCCCAGCTGTGCACGTACAGGAACACGTGAGGCCCCTGCTCAGAATTGAACTGAAAGGTGGATGCAATGATCTTACTCAGCACCTCCTCCTTAGATTTGCTGGTGTGGCACAGGCCGAGAGTATCAGCTAAAACCAGTCTTTGGTTTTCAAACGGCGCCGTCTCGGTTGTGCACGGCGCTTCATCTGAGGCAAACAAGCTGTTCGTCACAGCAGCTTTTCCCAGGAATGTGTTCATGATTGAAGTTTTCCCAGCTCCAGTCTTTCCAATGAGCACGATCCTGAGCTCCTCTGGCACTGTTGGAGAATCATATCATATCACATATCAGCACTGCAGCACTTACTCTGAACAACAGCTGATGTTTGAATGACGCTTCAATTGTTCCCAGCTTGCATTTGTTTTACTGACTTTGCATTACAAAGAAATTAACTTTCAGATGTTTTTATTATCTTAATTATCAGCATTATAGACTCATTAGTTTTCATGTAAACCACAGTCAGTCCCGTTTTACTCCCACACTTTCCCATCTTAGTTTTATGGTGTCTCGCTGATAAATTCAAAGTTCAGAAACACTTCAGATAAATATGATAGCAGCATGTTGACCATTTGTACAGTTGAATGTTTTCATTTTCAGAAAATGTACTTCATACAGTAACAGTTTCATTGTGTACTGCAGTAATTGTTGGTCTGGTGCAGGGCAGGCGTTTAATTAAAAGCAGGTATATTAATGCATAGAAGATTTAGCCTAGAAAGCTGCTTTTTATGTTAATGTCACTTATAGGAGCTGCATAAGACGTTTGTCCTACCTTCTGGTTTACTCCCCTGGGACCCTATAAAGAGAATTGTTAAAGATGTTAAAACCCCAAATGTGTACAAGTATTAATTTTATTATGGTACACACTGCATATTTCAACAGATCCAGCAGTTCTACATGAGGATTTTCTGACTAAAATGGCTAAAAATACATAAATCTGGAGCAGTTTGCACCTGAAGCCTTTCTGTCATGCTACTCAGCAGAACTTTGCCACAATTATTTAAAAACTGAATTTAGTCAAAATGATATTAAATGTAATAACATTACTATTTTATAGATGATAAAGTTTTAGGGTGCTCGGAGTGATCATGTAAGCTGCACTCAGCACTGACTGCACATAACAACTTTTCTATTATTTCATGTTGTCAGATTAACTGAGAACTGTTCAGGATTCAATTTAGAAAAAAGAGAAATCTCTACATGTTACACACTTACACAAGTGATCAAGAAATTATTACAAATATTAAATTATATGAAAGAAGCAACAAATGAAGGCGATTAAAAAGCCGAGTGACCTTTGATGTAATCAATGAGGCGTCTGATGACTAGAAACTATTTTAAAAACCAGCGAGCTCGTAGACTAAACAGGGAGTGTTGGGCTGTGTAAGTGTAGCTTTCTCTGTTACAGATGAGACATTTGTGTTGTTAGTACTGCTGTTAATAACACATGAAAATGTAATAAGAAAGAAAAGAAATTCTCTGCTGGTTTATTTACAACCTGTATGAAATGTAAAATGTACGTACCGCCCATCTTTGTCCTTTGTAAAAGCAGTGTGTCGTTGATGTCGTTGAACAGTTTGCCATCTTTATATTCAGCAGTGTGCCGCGTCCTCCCCTTAATGACGTTCGACTATCGTCTGCTTGCCAATGAGCCGACTTCTCAGAAACCAGAAACCAAAATATCCGTGCGCAGCAAACGATAGAACCAAACAAAAGTTTGACGACTGGAGGAATCGGGGAAGCTCCCTCTCTTACAGTAAAATCATGTTTGAGTATCGAAAAGGCAATCTGGAATGAGAACTTTCCAGGATGCTGAACCTGGCATTTTGACCGTTTAGCCACAGCGGGATAGAGGAAGTATTTTTTTTGTGCAGCAGGATTACCCACACTGTAAAAACGTCAACT